GGGAGCAATTTGTAACAATGAAATTGGGGGTCACCACAACATGAGGAACTGTATTAAAGGGTCGCGGCATTAGGAAGGTTGAGAACCACTGTTCTAGGACTCTGGGCCATTCAGAGCGGACTCGGCTGATTTTGTGCTCAGGGAGAGAGGGAAATCCTCTTTTTCTGTCTGTAGTGTTTCCTAAGTTCTCTGGAGGCAAGAATCTGAGGAGTTGCAGTGTCTTTTTTAATACATAATTGAAACTAATAGTTAAGTATATTATTCATATTCAATAGTTATTCAATGGATATAATTGTATTAAGTTATATATGCTATTCTTAAATAACTGGATCATCTGAAGTAAGAACTTAGGCATTCATTTGGTATGCTACTTGCCTCAGTGGGCAGCACTTGCTTCCAGGCCAAGAACTGGCTGTTGGTCAGTGTTCAGCTTTACTGGCATGTCATTCCACCACTTCAATGAGGACCTTGGAGGAAAAAGAAGTCCATGACATTTAGTACCTGAATTAACATAAGGCTTGCTTTGATGTTCTATTTCCAACAAAACCCCAGGTATCTGCCTAGGTCTAACCATCCTACTACCCGTGCTAATTATGACATTTAATGCTAAAACCTGGAAAAGAGAATAATATGTAGTTGCTACCATTTCTTAATTCATTCAACCAGCATTGATCACAGGGCCATTAGGTGCCAGTTACTGTGTTAGGGATACAATAGCAATATTATTCATAGTCTGGCCTGCGAGAACTTATATCTAACTAGGGGCCCAGTGCACACATTTGTGCACCTTGAAAGGAACTGTGGGCTGCAAGGCTGCAGTGGGCACAGGGGCGGGTCTCGGCCTATCTTCTGCACCCCCAGCCAGCCCAGCCCCACCTGCTGAAGCCCACGGTTCCCTGTCTGCTGGCAGCCCCGCTCCCGCTGCCATAGCTCCCACATGCTGATGGTGCCAGCCCTGCTCGCACCCACTGACAGCGCTGAGCAATCGGGGCCGGCAGCAGGTGCGACCAGTGGCTCTGGCACTGGCAGCGGGTGCGAGCGGGGCTGGCGCCGGCAGCAGGTGTGAGCACCAGGTGGTACCACAGTGCCCATGGGAGCAAAGAATTTTCAGTACCATAAGAGGCTCACCCCAATGACAGTGAGCAGTGCCCCGCCTTGGTCTGGTGCCCCCGCTCACCTGCTCCACCATCCCACCTGCTGCCGATGCCTACCATGTTCCATTCACGTGCCCTGGTGGTCAGCGCATGTCATAGCAACCAGTTGTTTGGTTGTTCCGCCATTCGGTCTATTTGCATATTAGGGTTTTATATGTATCAATGAGTCAGAAGTAAGGAAACAGATGATTTCTGTACATTCATTCTAAGAAAGGAGAAAATACTGTAGAAATGTATAGGAAAATGCAATGGACTGAACCGTGCCACTTCCAAATTCAAATGTTGAATCCATAACCTCCATGTGACCATATTTGCAGATAGGGCTTTTAGGAGTAATTAAGGTTATGAGGTCATAAGAGTAGGGTCCTAATCTGATAGGATTGGCAACCTTTATAAGAGGAAGAAGAAGAGATTCTCTCTTGCTCTCTCTTCACACACACACACCACAAACATGCCTGCACACATGTTAGGCCATCTGAGCACATAAGGCCAAGCTTGAGATGGAGCTGGAAACCATTCCTTGATTCCCCAGTAGAGGGCAGCAAAATATATAAAAGTAATATGTTTTATTATATTTATTATATATCTATCTTATTACATTTATCATATGGACTATTGCTACATATATTTAGCCTGAACATTTGTTTTCAGTTTTCTAAGTATGGTTAGATTAATAATCTTAAGATTTATTCCAAAGAAGAAAAAAAAATACTGTTTCCATGAGTTGAAACCAGTTAATGACGCCATTTATATTTTGACGTCCGGATTTTCTGCTTTAGCTTTATATGGTGCAGTTTATCTAATTAAAGTGTTCTGGCTAGGACCTTTTATTAATTCTTCGAACTGGTAAATTTATTGTCAAAACAGGTTTGAAGCTCCTGGTATTCCTCAGTTACTAATGTGGTCCATTGGCTGGTATTGTATTGTATTGTATTGTATTGTATTGTATTGTATTGTATTGTATTGTATTGTATTGTTCATTCATTGACTGCCTCCTGCAAGCCCCCACTGAGGATTGAGCTCACAATCCAGGCATGTGCCCTCACCAGGAATCAAACCATGACCTCCTGGTTTATAGGTCATTGCTCAACCACTGAGCCACACTGGCTGGGCGGCTGGTATTTTAGCTGTGTTGTACTTAAAGAAGTCAGAAAGTTGTTCTTATTACCTAGAGATTACAATGAATAGTCCATCTACATATCCTATAATTCTGTAGGATTTTATACAGTACATTGTATAAAATGTCAACACAAGAAATTAGTAGCTCTGTGGCTAAAGCATTGAGAACCTAAACTCTGAGAGCTATGGGGCCTAATGAGGAGCATGAAGGGAAACTCAAATTAGGAGTCTGTCTGTAGTTTTAAGGGAAAAGACCAGAAATCAACCCATACTTTAATTAAATTGAGCTGCAAAGCTTTCTCTGGAATGTTTTTGCAAAACTTTATCTTAAAAGCTACATAGAAAAGTTAATTTTGTCCCAAATAACATATTTGAAATAAGGAATATTCAGGAACATTACTGTTTTTACTCACTAAAGTATTTCTGGGTTCTGCCTTCCCCAAAGTAGATTTTACAGAAGAATTTTGAATAAATAGATTTCAAAACTCCATATTGATATCTTAAAAGAGAATGACAACTTGAAACAACTGACTGGAGTATCATTCTGAATCAATGGAGAACTGAGAAAAAGGGATTGCATTTTTATTTTATGGCCATTTAAGATGATATTTGAAAAGTGTCTAGAGCTCTTACAGAGTGAAATTCAAAGTGAAATTTTGAAATAAATAATTTTGATTTTTTTTAAAAAAGGTAAATGGCCCTGGACGGTTTAGGTCAGTGGTTAGAGCTCTGGCCCACAGGCTGAAGGGTTGCAGGTTTTATTCTGGTCAAAGGCATGTACCTGGGTTGCAGGTTTGATCCCCAGCCCTGGTAGGGGCAGATGCAGGAGGCAACCAATCTATGTGTCTCTCTTACATTGGTGTTTCTCTCTCTCTCACTCTCTTCCACGCTCTCTAAAATTCAATGGAAAAAAAAAATCCTCTGGTGAGGATTAACAACAACAACAAAAAAGGTTAAAAAAAAAAAGTAAAGAGAGGTCTGTGACATGAGTGACCTTGGATGAATCAGATAACTTCCCTGAATTTTTTTTTATTGTTTTTAATCTCTAAAAGAAAGGGTTTTAGGTGTAGGGAGCAGCTATAGGATTAAGCCTTGGACTGACCTGTGGCAGGGCCACAAACAAGTCCCAGCCTGGAGGGCAGAGTCTCCGAGTATAATTAAACCTGACCTAGTAGCCCTCCCTAATTCCTTCCTAAGTAGCTAATGG